TGGTTTTTCCAGTAGTCATGTATGGATGTGGGAGTTGGATTATAAAGAAAGCTGAGCACTGAAAAATTGATGCTTTTGAACTGTGGTGTTGGAGAAGACTCTTGAGAGTCCCTTGGTCTGCAAGGAGATCCAACCAGTCCATCCTAAAGGAGGTCAGTCCTGAGTGTTCATTGGAAGGACTGACGCTGAAGTTGAAATTCCAATACTTTGGCCACCTAATGCAAAGGGCTGACTCATTTGGAAAGACCCTGATGCTGGGAAAGATTGAGGGCAGGAGGAGAAGGGGATGACAGAGGATAAGATGGTTGGATGGCATCACTGACTCAATAAACATGAGTTTGGGTAAACTCTGGGAGTTGGTGATGAACAGGGAGGCCTGGCGTGCTGTGGTTTATGGGGTAGCAAAGAGTCGGACACGACTGAGCAATTGAACTGAACTGAACCTTTAACTTTCTTCTTAAGTTTGTTTCTTCTAGAATACAACAAATCTCCAAGTGGTAGTACAACAAGGATATTCCCTGACTAAGTAGAGGATGCTGAAACAAGTCACCTTATTATTCCATGGGCTCTCATCTCCTTCCTTAAATGCACCCTGACAGAGAGCAGGCAAAGGGCACCCAGAGCCCCATGATGCCCCTCTACAGCCTGAGGAAGCCAGAGCAGTCATCACCTCCCATCCCCCGAGACTGGATTCCCAAATGCTTGAGAAGGGAAACAGGTAGAGTTAGACATGAGCAGGATATCAACAGGGGCTAAAGAATTGGCCCTAAAAATAAAGAGAGGGAGGATGTGGTGACCAGAGGACTAAAAAGCAGAATAAAACCAACAAGGGTCTTGGAATGCAGGAACAGAAAAACCAGACACTTATCGTCTTTCCCTCCCCCGTGTTGTAACTATTAATGGATTTGAGGTCCTCCTGAGCAGTATAACATGTCTCCCCTCCTACCACATAGGGAGAAGGTATTTGCCTTACTCTGTTGTAGCCACACGTTCTGGGAAACCAACTCACTCAGAAGGACAATGCAGATAGTGGAGTGCAGTGTATTACACCGGCGGGCCCAAGGCAGAGTCTCTTCTTAGCCAAGAACCCCAACCAGTTTTTGTGAATACCTTATATACCCTAAGTGTACTTGCTCAAACCCACCTCCCCAAATTTCTTGAAACTACCCTGGACAAGGTAAAAGAGAGATACGATCAAAGTTAACCCATGATTCATGTGTCACAAGACTAGATAAACAGTGGATATTTATCAATAGGCCTGTGGTCATATCTCGATAAACATAATGGAATTTACCACTTTGTTCTGTTATAGAGATAATTAGCATATTCTTTTAGGCAACGGAGAGTCCAAGTACAAGTCCTGAAGCTCTTTTATCTGGGGGGTCTGGTTTTCCATTGGGATGCCATTTCTATAGACACCGGGCACAAAGTTCAGAGTCCATTGGGAGGGTGACCATGCATGTAGCCTAATGTTCACAGCCAGGCCTAAGATGGAGTCCAGCTCTGTGTGTTTCCTCCTTCAACTCTTCCCCCACCCAATATACGTGCCTTATCCAATCAGCAAATGACCCGCAAGACCCTTATCCCACTCCTTGTACCCTGGGTATAAAAGTGGACTAAGGACCCTGCTCAAGGTTGGTTCTCCCTTGAGTGGGCCCACTGTTCTAACAGCATCTCCCATCCTAATAAACTTAATTTTCCTCTCATTCTGTCTCATGTCTGGAAATTCTTTTCCACCCATGCCCAGAACACAACAATTACTACTACCTCTACAACTACATCAAGATCTGAAGATAGGACAAAAACTAATCGTGTCATTCTCACAATAGCAATGTTAATCATTATATTAATGTAATGACAAAGAACCTGAAAAAAGTCTCTAGTACTTTCTCTCATTTTTCAGCAAAATATGTACAGTGTTCCCATAAGACATTGACTATCTGACTTTTATGAATCGGAGGACAATGAAGACCCCTCAAATGGTTGTCTAGCATTTTTATACAAAATTGTTCTATGCATCTAACTTGAAATTCTTTCCTGTCTTAA